GACTTGGATTTTTTTCCCTGGGAATTCAGTGCATGATCAATAGAAAGTCAACCGAACGTAACTGACAGGTGTTGTTAAGCAGAATGGGGATGCAATCAGTTAAGCGACAAATAGGTCAACCATTATTAAAATAACAAAATTTCAAATACTTGAAGAGAAGTAGTGTAAAAATAAACAAAAAACATTTAGAGTGAACAATATGCATGTTTTTAGAGGTAATCAACCTTTTGCACTCGTTTGTTAGAGTTAAACGTGCTAGGCCAAGTGAATAAAGTAAAAAAAGACCATCCACCGTCAAGATCTAGCTATATATAGTATTAAATACGAAATATGAGACTACCATATTAAATACAGGTGAATCAAAGACAACAAACAATGTTTAACAGTGGGAGAACTTTACAGGTAATCCGTCGTTAATCCCTCAAAATCGGAGATTCCCACATCTTCTCTCTCTATGACAGATTTATCCCTTGATTGATATAAAGGCCCTTTTCATTGAGAGTCATCTTGCGTGGTTTCGGTTCCCCAGTTCTACGTGACAAGAAGTAGCGTCGTCTGTCCAACCTCGTGCATTTTCTCCTTACTGCTAAAGAACACTACGCGCAAGCGAATTATTGAAATAAAATTGAACCATGTGTTAATCCCGAAATAACTAAGTTTGTGTTGAGTGGACGTTAAACCCCATCTCTCGCTCTCTTTTTCAGTGAGTTAATCCTATTTTCCGTGTACGCGTGCGTTGGTATAATACAAATGTAATGGGACAATTTCTATGTACGTAAAAATGCTTGCAGGTAAACGGTTCGAATCTGGCAACAAATACATTCTAGGTTTCTAGCTTATACCAAAGCGCGTTAAACATATATTATGCAAGAGCTAAATCTGCCTATTGCGGGTCTTTCTTTAGGCCTGAAATGTTATATAAATTATTAATTAGACATTTATTAACATGAAAAGACCTTATCTGCTGCTGAATCGAGACTATGTTTTTTTTATCGTACCGACTTTAGTAATGATCATCGAGGCTAGGCCTAAATTTAAATCCCTAATATCTTGGTCCAGAGTGGAGCAATTTGACTGAAATTTTCAGCATATTCCCTTTACATTATCTATTCTTTAACTATTATAGTGTGAAGTGCCATCTCTTTATTTAATCTACCATAGTTCCTCTTTAATAGATGGACGCACCTCGACCAATACAGTTATTGTCGGTATCATCGAAAGGTCACGATCGGTGAAGTGTCAAAGTATTGAACTTAATTAAAGACACAAACATTATCCCTTCTTATTTTTTTTTCAATATAAGTGAGACTAAAACGATATTTGGTATTATTATGTTGTAATTCACCCCCAACCCCTCTCCCTATGATATTTACATAAGATGTATTTCATTTGTCCCTTGACCTCTGTTAAACCGTGCTCGGAATATTAAACACGTTTAACCCACACGTCTATAAAACCAGTTTGTTTTATATCCATTTCTCTTATGTACATATATCTATATACATAGCCTTATTTACATAGACTTATGCTAATATGAGATATATCATATAACCTTCCCCACTAATTTAAATTGATAGTATGTAATTCAAAATGAATAGAATAAGTTGAAAAATACAGTTGATTGAAATGTCAAAGAAAATGTACAGTGTATGATAACTGACAAAATAAACTCGCTGAAAGCCATTTTGTCGCCTTTGTCTTACGACAGATTTATGTCACACGAAAAATATGTTAAATGAAAATGCAAAAAGGTAGCTATTGAGTATGGCGACGATTCGAAAAATGGGTTAAATGTAAATTTCAAGAGGTAGCTATTGAGTATTGACGATTCGGATGTTGAATACATTCAAATGCTTAAATGTCGATAGCAAATTTTGTGAAATTAGTAAAGCATTTCTATAGGGGGCAACCTTTAAGGGCCGGGCATTGAAAGTACAACAAAGGCTTATTTTTATAACTCGTTGATGCAGTCATGCACTCTTTAAATCGTGCTATTAAAGTAAAATAGGACAAGGCTGAGGTTGTGGTGACTGATTTTAATAATATCGTATTCAGTCCATCCGTTCACAGCCCTTTAATAATAACTCAACAAACACCATAAAAAGTAGATATTTGTCTGAAATGAGCAATATACCCATAAATATGTACTCGCTCGACTAGGTAAATGACAAACGATTAAATGTCCCCGTAAAACGGAAAATAATAACATAAAAACACACCCGCCTGACATATAACAATAAATAGCTAAACTAAAGTATTCTGGGATTGTGGAGCTAGTTAGAAGATAAATATGACCTGACGAATTGGGTGAGGTTTGGGCCTACGAATAGAAAAGCACACATTAGCCATAAATTACATGCCTGCCATTTAAACATACAATATGCAAGAGCTAAATCTGCCTATTGCAGGTCTTTCTTTAGGTCTGAAATGTTATATAAACTATTATTAGACATTAATTAACGTATCCAGACTATAATCAACTCTCGATGGCATCGCTTACCTGCGATATTTACTGGATTATGATCTGATTTGCTGCATAACTTTCCTTCTCGATTTAACGATTAATTGGATAGTCAAGACTGATTTTTGTCGTACCGACTTAAGTAATGATGACCGAGGCTATGCGGAAATTTCGATCGCTTATTTCTCGGTTCATAGTAGATCAATTTGAATGAAATTTTCAGCAAATTGCCTTTACATTATCTAGTTTTGAACTATTATAGTGAGAATTACCAACTCGTTATTTAATCTCCCATAATGTATCTTTAAAATGGGTATAAGACAGAGTTGTAACGTTATATCAGTTATGTTATTAACGACTTATTAACGACATCACGAAATTTTTCAATTATATACTTGAAATCTGTATATACATGTGCTCGCTCGTTACCTCCCCAAAGGTGTAAATTTCACAAGTATCATAATTACGGACGATATTATTATCCATGTGGATTTGTTTCATTATCTGCAGTATATCAGTTCAAATTCCCACACAATTTAATTCACATGACCATTTATAAATAAGTAGGTTCTTTGTATTCATCTTTATTATTCCGATCCATTAAATTGAATCATTAAAATTTTGTATTTTTTTGTCGAGGGGATGATTCAGTTACACAAAGTATATTCGAAGTTAATAGAAAGATCTGACATGAAAAAAATTGCGACAGTTAATCATAATTTTAATCATCAGGCGATTTCGTACGCATAAATATATGTAGATTGCATTTAATGTTTAGGCTTGTTATCCAGGCCCACTAGAGCGGATAGTTTTACATATCTTGGATATACTTTGCTTCATTTAAATTCATTCTTTTCTTTTAATTTCATTTTTAAAAAAAAACCGAAAATCATTTTTTAAATGTGAAGCTATAATTGTATTTAAAAGACTGGGGAATATTTTTGTTCCTGTTTCCATCACAATGAGCTAGTATTAAGCACTAGTGCACTGGTTGTCTTTTTCTTTTCTTTCTTTTGAAACCACCATTGCTAAGTTATACAGTATATATCTAGTGAAATAAGTAGCAACAACTATATGCTGATATTTTACCTAAAAATGTATTTTGCTGTTTATTTCTTTGTATTTAGTATTGCTTGTTTTTTCCTCTGTGGTAAATGGTACATTTTGAATACTTAAAATGTTTCTCACTATAACATAGACCCTTTAGTTTTATACTACCTGGCTTTTTTTATACATTTCACCGATATGATTGCTTATATAGGTAATATTTTACTTGTGTAAAATGTGTTTACATTCATATTCCATGTGGCATATAGCAGATCATGACCCGTACTAGTATTATACAATGTTTTTCTCTGGGTTATATTCCTGATTGTTTGTTTTTCAAATTTGAGTGAAGTCTGTATAACTACAGACCCGGAAATGTACAGCGCAGTGGACGCTTAGGGCTAGCCCCCGGATCCATTCACTTAATCTGATATGTACGTGTGTTTGTGATGTCTGCGTACTGTGTCTTGTTCGTAGATTTGTTTTGTGTAATTATGTGTGGTGCAGTCCCTCTGCACATAACTATAGTCGTGATTATGAATAACAATCATTAAACCTTAGAATCACATTGAATTAAATTAGCACTTAAAGGTCGGAAACCGTTGGTTAGACATGAAATAGTTGAAGATGACAAGATATTATTTCTAAGCTATAAGTATTAATGACCTTACTTTCATATTTAACCGTATCGAACATCTATTCTCTATATCTGGTGATCCAGACTGTTCCAAATTGGATTTCCCGTGACTCTAAAAAGAAAATACTTTTAGATAAAGTTTGATCAATCACCTGCATGGGATATTAAAATAAATATTTGTTAAAATTAGATAGAGCTTGAATACTGTCAGTATATATCAGCAGTTTATTTAATTGATGTAAACACCCATAACATTTAAAAGATGATTTTTACTATCGAGGCAACTACTTTGATATTGAGAACCAAATGGATAATAGAACCTGAATGCTTTCTTTTTTTGTGAGCAACTTGTTTAATAATGTATGTAAGCTTCTGTACCATTTAATAAATACAATTTTCAGTGTCGATTCAACCAATATTTAGAGCATGAAATATGAAATTAACTGATTAAAACACAGATCCTATTTCGTTTCGTTTTTTATAGTTAAAATTTCGTTTTACTTGTCTTTACTACACTAGGATCTGGAAGAGGTGTTATCATTGACGTGCTCTGGATGATGTGAGGGATTAGCCAATGAAACGGTCTGTCACGGCGAGCTTATGGCGTGAGGCGCATGGAACTGTGGGTGATCCACTAGAAACATCAATGCTGGTTGGTTAATCAAATGTCTGACGTCATAGGGCCAAAAGTCACTTGTATGACCTCTGACGCGACCTCCCAAAAACAACTGGCCAGATCTTCATGTAGTGTAGGCCATCGAAAGTATAAAAAACGAAACGAAATATTTATTATAGATCTGTATTATAATCAGATTGATATGAAATATGAAATGAACAATACTCTTTTATTTTTAGGAAGATGAGAATGAAAGAGGGAATTGGGGAGGAAGGTTAGATTTCCTTTTATCATGTATTGGATATGCTGTCGGTTTGGGAAATGTGTGGAGATTTCCATATTTGGCATACAGAAATGGCGGAGGTAAGCAGACGTTACTTTATCAAACAGATTCAACCTTATTATTGTAAATTAAAAATTCAAGGAATGCGCACGAGTGGCTCATATCTTGTATATATTTTAACCCACTTTTGAATCCGTCTCCCGTTTAAAGGGGGGTAAGCGCATAAAACATAAAGAACTAAATGTGAAATGTATGAATTTAATACAATAGTACATGCACAGCTGTTCTGCGTGACTTTAAATTTAAATTCTAAAATGAAGCAAATGAACCTCCAGTACAAAACCCGTTTCCGGAATCAAGTGGCAGGTTATGCTTTAAAGGAGCTAAGTCTCTAACTCAATATTTTCCATAATATTCGAATTAAACGCACGAATTAGAATTCAATATTGGTCAATTTTAATCAATATTGATGTTGTTATCTTGTCGTGAAAATATGGGATCCTAATATCCAATATTCAAGACACAATTAGCATTTTATAATCAGTACACGAATCGTGTATCCTGTGGTTTCGGGTGCCATTTTGTAATGAACAAATAAAAACATATCATACAGCACAATAGTAAAGGCTGAATCACAAACAACAAAATAATAAATTTAAAACGCGTAGAATGCACTAAGTAGGCGTAAACGACTGTCGCTCAATTTCAACTGTTTACGTATTTCACCAAACATGATTGATGAGAAATTATAATATTTTTTTCAAAAATTGAATATTAATCACTTTAAATACATTCATATTACATTAATATTATATGCTTTTAGAACCATATTTGTCTATATCAAGGTTCCCAAAAATAGAACCATAAGCCCTTTAAATTAAGGTGATATCAGATGTTCTGTAATAAGAAAGCAGACATGGTCTCAATATCTGGAGATACAAACTGTTCCAAACAGGATTTCGCGTGACTCTAAAAATAAAATACTTTTAGATAAAGTTGGATCAAGCAAATGGGATACATGTATTAAAATAAATATTTTTTTTCTATTTTTAATTCTAATACTAAATCCACGGATTTTATCCTAATTGTTTGTTTTCTTTTTCTATTTTCAGCCACATTTTTAATACCATATATTATTATGTTGGTTATTGCTGGGTTGCCACTCTTCTTTATTGAATTGGCTATTGGTCAGTTCTCTTCAGAAGGTCCAATCACGGTATGGAAGGTCAGCCCTATTTTCTCAGGTGAGTTATGTTTGTTTCTCGAAATCAAATACGTTGGACGTTGTGTACGTTTTTGACGACTAGGAGCACCACTCCCCACACCCCGCGTTGACCGAGAATGTCTGGTCTGGTTTGCCTGGTGCTGTGGATGGGGCGGTAATCCGAAGTCCACCGGTTTGCGTGCACGTAACAGAACCATTGGGTGCTGAAAGTCAGTGGAAGTAAGGTAGACGACCTAATTCCCCTCATAGCACACAGTATGGCGTATGCCCCTCTTTATTATCCCAGGTGATTCACACCAATAGGACGTTAAACCCCATTTCCAATCTGATTAAAGTACAGATCTATATTTCCTTTCGTTTTTTATACTTTCGATGGCCTCTAATGCATGAAGATCTGACCGGTTGTAGTGGGAAATCGCGTCAGGGGTCTACGGACGGCTTTTGACCCTATGACGTCAGACATTGATTAATCAATCAGCTTTGGCGTTTCTAGTGGTTTACCCACAGTTCCATGCACCGCACGCCAAGAACTCGCCGTAAAAGACCGTTTTATTGGCCAATCCCTTACTTCAACCAGAACGCGTGTTATAGGAACTGTGTGGTAATCAGATTGGCCACATTTTATTAGTTATTTAATGATTATTTGGGGTATTTTTTTAGGTATTGGATTTGGAATGTGTATAGTTAGTGGAATGGTCAGTATTTATTATAACATCATCATCATGTACGCTATCTACTATATGTTCGTATCATTCGTTCATTTGGATGACCTTCTTCCATGGCAGTCTTGTAACAACACCTTTAATACGGAGGCTTGTCGTGTCGAACCCTATCCAGATCTAAAATCAATGAATGAAAGTGATAAAATGACGGCACTCAAAGGTAAACGCAATTTTCATTCTTCAATTTCTTCTATTCACAATATATGGGGACGACGGTGCCATGTGGTTAAGATGCTGGCTCGCTAGCCTGGAGGTCGTGTGTTCGATCCCTGCATTGGCCGAGAAAGTTCATCGAAATTTTCCGACGTGGTTTCCCCTTGTCAGTGGTGCAAGACGGAGGGTCTGACAAGGACAGCTGTCTAGTCATTCGGATGAAACGAAAAACCGAGGTCCCGTGTATACATTGGCTGCACGTAAAAGATCCCTTGGCAGTTGGAATTCGATATAAGAGCAGACGATAGTGCCGCTGTCCGGGCAAAATTTCCCTCATAGCACACTGTATGGCGTATGCCCGTCTTCATTAGCCCAGTATAGGAGCAGAACAGTAGTAGGACGTTAAACCCCATTAAGTCTACGAATGTTTTTAACTCTTTTTTGGAAATTATTATTGAGTTTGATCGTCTAATGCTTTGGGGTAGCAAATATCAAAGGGACGGTGCCGAGTACCAACAAAGCAAATGTTCTTTCGCCAAGAAAAAGTTGGTCGTTCGCGATCCTTCGATTTTTTTCGTCCATAAAGATCAAACAGAGAGAGAGAGAGAGAGAGAGAAGAAAATGGGGTTTAACGTCCACTCGCGTAGGGGTCTTTAGCAGTGAGAGGGGGGCCCGGAGAAAACCCACGAGGTTGGACAGACGACCCGACTCCTTGTCACGTACAACCAGGGAATCGAAACCACGCCAGTTGACTCAATGACAGACTTTATGGTATAGCGCGCACGTGCTAACTATTCAGCCATCCAACCCCCCAAAGTTCAAACAACTTGTGCAATTATAATGTGTATTGATATTTAAAAATAAACAATATATATTTCAAATATACTTTTACTGTTTTGCAGATGAAGTTATTAATATAACTTGTGTTGCCAGTAAATATCTGGTGAACTTCACTGATATTTACAATACATCTACACCAGTGACGGAGATGGATCTGAACTCAACCATGTTGATGAATACGATAGCAAAAGATTGCAAATTCTCTTATCAAACACCCTCCGAACAATATTGGTCGTACGTATTAATTGCTTACTAACAGATCAAAGACGCATTATGTAAGAGCTAAATATGCCTGTTACTGGAGTTTTTTTTTTCTGGCTTGGTATAAACATTTTATTGCAAATAAATTACAAAAGGATTAGGACAATTTATAAAGATTATAAACATTCTCCCAGGGAACCGAATAATATAATATTATATAATATATGATGGCAGAACGACCATTTAACATACAGCAGATTCAGCTATATACAATATGTACACATATTTATAATTTTCTGGCTTCAAATGTTATATTAATTACTATTTAAAGATTTTGTTAACATGACAAGCTCATAATCAACTCCCTGGTTCATCGATTAGAAAGGAGTTTAAAGAAATATAGATAACCGAGACTTAAATCACAACTTCAAACATTCATAAATTCGCACAGACAAAAGTAATTTGGCTGAAATTTTCAATATATTATTTTTCAGTATTTATTTTTGAACTTTTACGGCTAGAACGACCAGTCTTTTTTATCTAAATCTTACATAATGCATCTTTAAACTATGTTTTTATGAACAAATGTATATAATGTGATATTTTTATTGTCCATTTTTGTTTTACGAAAATATTTGTGGCATGCTTTGTATACACCCTATAACCTTAAGTTATTAAAAAATCTTAAATATATATTCATAAATAATCCCCTCTGTAAAACAAGCAAAAAAGTTTTTGTAAGGAGAATTTTTTTTTATTATTATTAAAACCGGAAGTGGCGTAGTTGGTCCAACACACTCACTGGTCTCTATAGTAAGCATGCAGATTTGACATAAGTTAACTGCTGTATTATGTTCACCGGTCGTCGTTGGAATGAGAATCCGACAAAAGGGACTGTTTATTTGGATATTTTAAATATAGAATTATGTTCTTTTTAAACGACATTTTCTGAACACTGCCAGATAGTCTGTGTACAACAACATAGAAAATAATACAAAATGTATTTGTCATTGTAATTGTAATAACATAATATCCCCCGCATGTATATTTTAATTGTAATCACATTGTATTTCCCTGCTTGTAATCATATAATGTTTGTATTTTATCTTCATTTAGACGATACGTATTACAAATCCAAGATTCTAATGGTATTGAAGATATTGGTGATGTTAGTTTGAGGAATTGTCTTTGTCTTTTCTTCGCCTGGATTCTTATATTCTTTTGTTTAATAAAAGGAATTAAATCTACTGGAAAGGTGAGTAGAATAACGTTAATACAATCCCATATCGACGTTTTATCTGAAATGTATTTTCTTTTATTGTAATCGAGTAATAACGTTATACATACCGAAATATAACCCAATATCAGAACTTTACCAATCAAATTAAATTGAATGGGATTGAATGTCTTGCCCCGACTGTGCTATTGAAGACGGACATACGTCATACATTGTGCTATGAGGGAATGGCCTACTCTAGTATTGAATTCCAACTACAAGGGATCTTTTACGCGCATGCCAATGTATACCTCGGTTTTTCGTACCACTAGACAACTCTCCTTGTCAGACCCTCGTTCTTGCACCACTGACAAGGAGAAACCACGTCGGAAAATCCTGATGAAGTTTCTCGGCCAATGCAGGGATCGAACACGCGACCTCCAGGCTAGCGAGACAGCGTCTTACGCATTTATCCACCGTGGCTCGCCACCAACCAAATTATCTCCATATCATCTACCAAATATTTCATAACAATCGTAACAATACATTTTTTATATTCCAGGTTGTATATTTCACTGCTACCTTCCCCTATGTTATTCTTGTTTATATTTTTTATTTCAGGTTGTATATTTCACTGCTACATTCCCCTATGTTATTCTTGTTATTTTGTTGATCCGTGGTGTGACATTACCAGGATATATGACAGGAATTGAATTCTATGTTATCCCTAAACCAGAACTACTGCTTAATGCCAAGGTAAGAATATACATAATCGAATAGCTGATTTGATGAATTTATATTTCCGATATTCAGTCACGTTATGAACATGCGTTCAAAATATTATTTTGTAGAAATGTAAACTTTGTCGAGGTTTTATTACTGACAGAAAAAAAAACCCTGTAATTTTGGAAACCTTGAGGTGAAATCAAAATAGGACAGTTTTTACAAGAAGTTTAAAATCGACAACATCTAGAAGTTTTGATGTATACGTAAATCTGATAATCCGCCTTACCTGCTCTCAATGGAAATACGACGAGAAGAGTTAGAGCTTAAATACCTTCACTCTTCCGCATTGCTATGGTAACGGCATCAAAAATTGATATCAGTACTCTCCTTTTTGTCTGTTTCATTATGTGTCCTATGGTTTTAAGATTTTATAATTCTTATGATTTTTATAATAGGTATGGGGTGATGCTGCTACCCAGATTTTCTACTCTCTGGGTATTGGTTTTGGTGGATTATTAACCATGTCATCATACAATAAATTTAAAAACAACGTTTACAGGTTGGTACAACTCCTTTTCAAATTCAAAACTTCTTTCTGAACCTCACGTTGTGTTTGCTGATTGCCAATAAAAGCTAAATCCGTGACCACTGTTAAATACAGAGTCTTAGCCGCATCCCTTCCCCCGACCCATTTTTGGAAATTTATAATTTAATTGAAGCTTACATTGGTTTCTATTATTCATATTTATCTCTCTAATTTGAAATGGCCAACCTACGATTGTTTGCGATATACTAAGCCCAGATTAGCTGCCATGTGCCAAGATTAGACATAATGTCGTATCCCACGGAAAGTTGCACTGTGTGAGACCGGCTTTAGGTTATATACGAATATTGTAATATCACAATTTAAAAGAACACGTTAAATATGGATCGGATGATTATGTTTAAATTTTTATTTACAGGGATGCTATATTAGTGTCATGTATTAACTGTGGTACCAGTATTTTTGCCGGTTTCGCCATTTTCTCCTTACTAGGATTCATGGCCACAGTAACCAATCAGGATATAGAAGATGTTGCTAGCCAAGGTACTTATCGAAATAATTTTTTTTTGTTAGAAATTTCAATCGTTGTTGTATTTTGCCAGTTGATCAATTTACGGTCTATAATCAGTTTTGAGTAATTAATATACAAAATTTTAAAAACAAAATATTAGCTGTATGTTCACTCGAGGGGATGGATGGCCGAATTGTTAGTCCCGAAATTACATAATTTGTGTCGATTGGACGTTAAACTCTCTGTCTCAAATGGGAAATGATATTATATGTTCTAGAGCGAGTAGCATACTCTATCCAATACACTATGCGCACTGCTATGTATGGTTAAATGGAGCGATGGTCTGGGCCCGGATTTCGGAAGCCAAAGCTACGATGTTTAAGACAGGCAATCAGCAGAGTTGCCCACCAAATTTATTATTTAAAAAACCGATGCACTACAAAAACCCGTTAGCTATCTAAACTCCTGAAACGCATAAGCATACCCACCGTTGTACAAGTGATGTGGGATATATAATATCTCGAGCGAACTCTTGAATAAAGAACAGTTCCAATATAAAACCAAGTTCAATTGATCAACAATACCTACAACAAAATGTATAGTCAATCAAGATGTTCACCACCGCCATCTTGTTTGTTCATGTGATTATAGCTGTAAACGTTTCTTGTTTTCTATAGGTCCTGGTTTGGCATTTATTGCTTATCCTGAAGGAATTGCTCGACTCCCCGTGGCACCCATATGGGCTTTCTTATTCTTCTTCATGTTGTTGACACTTGGTATGGACAGCCAGGTAAAAATGATTAAAATATTTAGTATTTATCTGTTAAACATTAATAAAATACATTATGCAAGAGCTAAATATGTCTATTGCTGATCTTTCTTTAGGCCTGAAATGTTATCTAAATTATTAATTATACATTAATTAACTTATCCAGACCATAATCAACTCTAGATGGCATGGCTAGCCTGTGATCTTTAGTGGATTATGAGCCGATATACTGCATAACTTTCCTTCACGATTTAACGATTAAATGGATAATCGAGACTATGCTGTTTATCGTACTGACTTTAGTAATGATGATCAAGGCTAGGAGGAAGTTTCAATCGCTTAGTTATCGGTTCATAGTGGATTAATTTGAATGAAATTTTCAGCAAATTGCCTTTACATTATCTAGTTTTTAACTATTATAGTGAGATATAATCCTTTAGTGGCATTTAGCAATTGGAAACATAACAAAACTATACAGTTATATGGGACAACAATCACTGGTTTATTATACACAAGCACAACGTTTCGATAAGTATTCTCTTAACGATAAGAGAATACTTATCGAAACGTTGTGCTTGTGTATAATAAACCAGTGATTGTTGTCCCATATAACTGTATAGTTTTGTTTTGTTTTTATTATAGTGAGAACTGCCAACTTGTTATCGAATCTCCCATAATGTATCTTTAATAAAATACATTCCCCAATTGACTTTAATTCAGGCAGCTAGTCAATTAATTTGTCTTTAATATCGAATTTGTTTTATGAATTGTCTCATAATAAGGTATGTGATCTATAGTTATTTACGGTATTTAATTCAGGGTGGAACCCTCTATGAACAGTTTTTTTTAATTAACGAATTTTTATTCTATTTTTAGTTCGCTATGATGGAGACCTTGATCAGTGGTATTACTGACATTTTCCCCCATATTTTAAGAAAACGAAAACTGGTTTTCACTTTCTTCTGCTGTATGGTTGGTTTCTTGCTAGGTATTCCTATGACAGCCAAGGTAAGTTGAATTAAAAATCAACTGTTTTTCGTTTTATTATTGATGCTCTCTCTTGACATCTTTCATTTTTTAAGAATCAGTTCGCACTACGTGAAAAGATTGTCTGAGAAATTATAGATATTAATGGGTTAACGGTAATCAGGAGCGAAGTATGGCAAAATTCTCGCGGTTTCAAAACAGTTTTCAACATTATCATCATAATCATAATGCTTATCCAGTATCAAACATATACCGTGGGTCAGATATGCTGCAAATTGACTAGCAATTTCCCCACATCCCAATATTACTCCGCGGCACTGTGAGTGACTGTCCCTTTCCCCGCACACACATATAAATATTGCTTTTTGGGGCCCCGGAAGGAATCTTGTTCCCCATGGATCACCACGCCCCTGACGACACTTATCAATTCTAAGAATTTAGACCAATACATCCCCTGCTAATGTTCTACAATATTTGATACACCAGTAATTATTGATTGGACAGATTTGATTTGTTTTTTTTTCCATACCTAAACTTTTATAATTGTTTTTTAAGGGTGGAATTTACGTCATGACATTAATGGATTGGTATACCGGAAGTTATAATTTGATGTTTTTGGCCTTGATGGAGATTATTTGTCTTATGTATGTCTATGGTAAGATACGTTATGGAAGATTTATAGAACGGGCTGGTTGTTCGTGCTAAAATAGTTCAAAAATAGATAATGAAATATGAACATGTTAAATTATTTTATTCATAGCGAAGTTATGAATGTTGGAAACTTTGACAAGAAATAAGCATAAATGGCAAATAAAAAATCCGCCCACCTTTCATATTCCCGATTGGCAAGTACCGTTACCATGATAATCAACGAAATCTCGATTATCCAGCCTTTCATATTATTATCGTTTAACTTTTAAGGCAGATGTGTAAGACTATGTCTCATCTTAGACATCCAATATCTAGAGGCTAGTCATGTTAATAAATAATTTATAATATTTGAAGCCAGAAACCATCCCTGAAATAGACTAGTTTAAAGATTGAATGTTGAATCTATGACGTTTATACACATCTAAAATGTCCACTAATATCACTGTGTATACGTTTTAGGTTTTAAGAATTTCTGTGAAGATATTTCCTTGATGGTTGGATACAAACCTAATATTTATTGGTTGGCAACTTGGTTGGTTCTTACCCCATTAGCTCTATTGGTAAGTTGTACAATTTTTTTTAAATGATTAAAATTAAAACAATTACCCAAATATAACTCATTTCACCTTTAATTAACAAATGAACACGCCGACCGTATCGTCACCGATCTCTGTTCATAAACAAAACATGCGTTCATGCTTTAATAGATACTCGTGGAAAACACTTGGGTTCAGATGAATGCACCTGGGAAGACTAGCATGTCCCGTTTTCACTGGAACGTTAAGCCCCATTTCATTCTCATTTATTATAGCATGTGAGCTGTTTACTTTCTTCAGATTTGATGAAAGTTACCATCATAACGTGAGAGAGGGGTTTTACGTAGGCTAAGCCTGTTCCCCAATCCCATTCAGACAACCTGAATGAAAATATTGTTTTTTTAAAAAAACAACAAACGTGAACTATCATCACCACGATTAATCCACTATTAAAACCATGATTTCAATCATAGCACGAATCGTGATAGTGGGAAATGAAATGGGGTTTAACGTCCTACTGTTCTGTTCCTATACTGGGCTAATGAAGACGGACATACGCCATACAGTGTGCTATGAGGGAAATTTTGCCCGGGCAGCGGCACTATCGCCTACTCTTATATCGAATTCCAACTGTCAAGGGATCTTTTACGTGCACGCCAATGTAGACCTGATAGGATCACCACGATTACTCCACGATTAAAACCACGAGTTCAATCGTGATAGTGGGAAAGTAGCATAAGAATGAACACCAGATAGTGAAATATTTTACAGATCTATACTTTTGTTTGTTTTGATTCTTTGGCTTGTTCATTTTTTTGCGCTACATCCACACAAACTGAATAATTGTCATAAATCTATCGGGAATAATGTTTGTCGATATTACAATCTGATTAATATACAGATCTATATTTCGTTTCGTTTATTTTATACTTACGATAGTGAATTTCGCGTCAGGGGTAATGCGAGCGGATTTTGACCCTATGACATCAGGATTTGATTAACCAATCACCATTAATGTTTCTAGTGGCTTACCAACAGTTCAGTGCACATCACGCCATAAACTCGCCGTAATAGACTGTTTCATTAGCTAATCCCTCACATCACCCAGAACGCGGGTTATATAACAACTCTTCCAGATCCTAGTGTAGTACAAACAAGTAAAACGAAATTTTGAACTATAAAACACGAAATGAAATAGGATCTGTGTTGTAATCAGATTGCCTATTAAGTTACTTTACTATCCTGAAAAGTGTGTGTGTTATTTTTTTTTCCAGTTTATTTTGGTGATTTCTGGCGTACAATACGAACCTGTTACCTATGAAGGATATGTATATCCGTCATGGGCTGAAGGCATAGGATGGATTATGGCCATGTTACCAGTTGCTGTCTTTTTAATTGTTGCCATTGTACAAGCAGTACGATATGGCGGAATTGTAAGTGTTTGTCATTATAAATCTTTGTTTTTGTTTCGTTTCATTTTTATTTTTTTAATTTTTAGGGCGGTGTGGGTGTGTGTGTGTGTGTGTGTGTGTGTGTGTGGGGGGGGTAATGTGTCTACGAAACGCACCGAACACTTGGTGCTCACTGGATAACAACATTCAACTTCCATCATCCAGACCGTTTTATCGTAATCTTAAATTCTGTACTTAACTGGTGCTTTCACTCCAATTGTAGTCTTTGGCGCAATATAGCCCGTTTGGAGCTGACGTGCCATAAAACAAGAGTTCATTCATTCATTCCAATTGTAGTCCAATTTTAACTTTATACATGTATTTTGTTTGACAGCGAGAGGCTGCTAGAACTACCAGAGAATGGGGTCCAGCTTTACCAGAAAACAGAACAATTCCACGATACAACAATTTTGGCACTGCTGATTTGGAAGGCCAGGACAATATAGCAATGGAGTACCCTACAAAAGTATCTCCACCTGCTTATGCTAATGGTGGTGGTGATAGATACGTTGTAGAGCATTTGTAAATTTTAATACGCCTTCTCAGTTTTAGACTCTAAAGTAGTTCCAATAGTTTGATTGTTTATCGTATCCACGGGATTATTGTTTGGAATACATTTTAAGCTTTAGGATTATCTTAGACAGTGTCTTTCAGAGATTATCAAACAATGTGCTCATTTTTATTTTAACTTTGATTGTTATTTTGTGACTAATGACGAATTGGCGGGAAGTTATTTTATGAACTTCTTTAAAAACATGAGTGAAAATGACTTAAATATGTGATAAGGAAGACTAACGCAGACCTCCTTACAATCACACTTTTATTTTGTGAATAACGTAGATATAATTGCACATTAACAGTCTTATGACGAATCGAAAATAACGGGGATATCAGGAAAATTTTTTTTTATATTTTGTGATAAATTAACTCGCTCACACAGTTCAGTAGCAGAACAAGTGATTGACATTTCTCTACGAATGAAATGTACATTAATTGTCTCTCATTACTGACGTTACTCGTTGTTATATTTTTGTAAACGATTGTTATTCGTGATGTATTAATTACAATCTGATTAAAACACAGATCCTATTTCGTTTCGTTTTTTTATAGTTCAAAATTTCGTTTTACTTGTCTTTACTACACTGTTATATTACCGGCGTTCTGGGATTAGCCAATGAAACGGTCTGTTACAGCGAATTCTTGATCTTCGATGCACGTAACTGTGGGTAAACCACTACAAACGTCAACGCGGATTGATAAATCAATGTCCGACGTCATAGGGTCAAAAGTCGCTCGTACGACCCTGGCAAGACCTTCCACTACAACTGGTCAGATCTTCATGTAAGGTAGGCCATCGAAAGTATAAAAAAAAAGCGAAACGAAATATAGATCTGTATTTGAATCAGATTGTATTATTTAGTTTTATTTCTGAGTTTTATAGAGATTTGTTTTATGGCTTGGTTAAACTGTTTAAATAAACTAAATAATGTAAATAATTATAAGACATTAGTTCTACTGCAAACTGTAATAATAAAATGTTATAACCATTGATTTCTATGAAAAACTTACCGTAATATTCAGTGGTTTAAATGTGGTCCATGAACACACCAGCCAGTGCAATGATATCAAACATGGAGGGCACAGATCACGGTTAACTTCGTATTTTGAATACAAAATCGAATCCATTTCAGTCAAAATGTCAAATCAACATTTAATTAGAATGAATTTTTTGTTGATATTTACAAATTGAACGCATAATTCGAATTTTAGATCGATTGTTAGAATTCCTTATATGTATAGAATAGAAGTGTTTATATTTGCGTTTTTTATACATATATTTATAATATATATATATATCATCTTTAGAAAGAAATCTCTTAAATAAAGTATTTTTATTTTTCATCGTTTTCTTTCTTCTGTTTGACATGTTACAGTGAAGAATACAAAGAAAATGTTTTAATGTATTATTTTATGCGGGGGCACTATATGTGCTAGGAAATTAGCATGACGTCATCGTCGCCATATTGGAATTGTTATATCAAAAATCGAAGTTCCACAATCTATGCTCATTTCTCCAGCCAAGTTCGTGTCGATCGTATTCAAATGGCAGAGTTTTGTCTTATTTTAGAAGAACAGGATGAGTAGGACTTGGGGACCAAAAAAGATGTTGCACTGTGAACTGTTTCTATATTGTTATGTCTAAATCACACATAACTAATTTGAATAGAAGTAAATAACATTCAATGTGGCATTGCAAGGAACACTGACACATCCGCAATTAGTCATCAAGCCAGGGCTGGTAATTTGTTCAGTTGAACATATCGAACTCTGGTGTGCCCTTGTCTTTAGGCGTGGGCCGATAAAACCCTTTTTGAGCTTTTTTTTACAAGCCCGAATTTCATTTGTAAGGATGGCACCTGCTTGGCTGACAACGAATGTGTGCCTAGTCATTTGGATGGGACAAAAACCCGATGTGCACCCTTGTACACATTAACGTACACGGACCAGACTGCTTGGTCGTTGAAAATCAGCGAAGAAGAAATATCCCCCGCATAGCACAATAACCAAATAATGTAGATTTAACATCAGTTAGTTTCAGTCATTCCACTCCATTCGGATTCATTCCATTCCTAGACTTAAAGATCATTTGATCTACATACTGCTTCAGCCTTACGGACTCAGTAAACGGGGGGGGGGGGGGTAACGTCCACTCGACACAAACTAGGTCATTTCGGGACTAACATATGATTCAATTGTATTTTAATAATTTGATTGCGCGCAGGTGTCTTTAGCGTGGGAGGAAAACGGAGGACCCAGAGAAAACCCACGAGGTTAGAGAGGCGACCCTGCTCATGTCACGTACAACCGAGGAATCGAAACCACTCTAGTTGAATCAACGTCAGACCTTATGATACAGCGCGCACGTTCTAACCATTTGGCCATCCAACCCCACCCCCTCCTTGCCATAGCTTCCTATAACACAACGTGAAGTGTCCTATTGTAATCATTTTACTATCATATATAAAACAAACACCGTTTTGAAAAGTACTTTCTTAAAAAATATAATTGTACATACATCAATTATCAATAAACAGTGGATAAAATTGTAATAATATATTTTATAGGAATTATAATGATATAAAAATACCATTGTTGAAAGACTTAAACCAACATTAACTGAGACAAATACAGATGTCAAAAAATACAAAAAATGTAAATGATTACACAGTTAACAAACAGGTTCATAATAACTTTACAAATGATTCCAAAATAAATTTGTAAATGATTTCCGAATAAGTTTGTAATTCATTTCCTTATATATTTGCAAATCATTTTATAATAAATTTGCCAATCATTTCCTAATAAATTTGTAAATCATTTCACAATAAATTTGCAAATCATTTTACAATAAATTTGCAAATCATTTTACAATAAATTGCAAATCCACTCGACACAATCTAGGGTTTTATCATTGGGAGGAAACCGGAGGACCCGAAGAAAACTAACGAGGTTGGACAGGCGATCCTACTCCTTGTCACTTACAACCAGTTGTAACTTACGCCAGTTGGTTATACAGTGAGAAGAAAATCAAACTAAAATTAGTAACAAATAACACACCAGATCAACAGAAAAATATTTCTAGAAATAATATAAATGGAGATATAACTTTATTTGTATATCTGAGTTATTAATATAAATAATAAAAAGAGTTCAAAGTTATAGATGTTGAGCAATGTAAGGATTAAAATCGTCAATAGAAGGGTGCCAGAAATTAAACAGCATTGTTCTTTTTAGAGTCAGCCGTATTCTAATGATATCGTCGGAGATAAGAACTCTACTAAGCAATTCGACGCCACGCCGCCTTGAACGACATTGTTAATAACATAGCAAAATGGTTCTGTTAAATCTTTCGTTATGAATCTTACTGAAAGTAAAATTCTCTAACATTAGATTTCTCGGGATTGTTAATCTTTGTCAATCTGATTAAAATACGGATCTATATTTCGGTTTTTTTTATACTTTTGATGGCTTCTCCTACATTAAGATCTGACCAGTTGATGCTTCTCGTGGGTTATCCACAGTTCCGAACACCTCACGCTATAAAATCGCCGTAACGGACCGTTTCATTGGCTAATCCGTCACATCATCCCGAACGCGTGTTATATAACAACTCTTCCAGATCCTAGTGTAGTTAAGACAAGTAAAACAAAATTTTGAAACTATAAAAAACGAAACGAAATAGGATCTGTGTTTTAATCATATTGTTTTATTGTTAGATGTATATAGAATATGACCAACATGTCAATTTCACGTATGTCATTCTGGCACGTAACCAATATAGAAAGTAGCATTTGAGGGCGTCGTAACAGTTTAACTTTTATTCGGCTGTGTGGGGCACCCTATCAAAAGCACATTTTCGCTACAAAATATAAGATATAGGAAATTTTATAGATGTGCTACGATGTATTTGTCGCCATTCGCAATCGGATATGGCGGTGGGGAACTTGTATAAACGAGGCCCAGATTATCTTCACCTTCGAAGTCATAGGTGCCATTCTGGTAACGTGGAATTGTTCTGTTTTCTGGCAACGCTGGGCCCCAATCTGCTGTAGGTCTTGATCCTTTTACCTGGAAAAAAAGGCACAGTTTTAAAAACAATTGGGTGTAATCAGCCATCTTCGATTTCTCTGTGATTACATATTTGGTCAATTGTTGTCAAGGTTATTATTATCATACTGTCGTTATAAATCCGGATCGAGCATTTCTTAAACACGTGTTGAGATGAGAGCGCACTGAACAACGGAATGCGTGTAAACGGTACGAATATAAGTAGACTGTACTTAAGCGACATTCCTAAGACTGGTTAGAATGTTTAAATCTGAATAAATAATACCCAAACAACATAGCTAACAATCTGAGGATAATCGCAACAAAAACACGGGGTATAAATGGATATATGTATATGGCTCTGTATAAATAGACATAATTTTATATATAAGGCTCTGGGTATAACTAATAACAGATTCATCTTTAAATAAATAAATAAATAAATAAATAAATAAACTCACCACTCCTCCATATCGTATAGCCTGTACGATGAATACAATAACAAAGACGACTACAGGCAGCATGGCCATAATCCACCCTATACCTTCAGCCCAATTTGGAAACTCTCTATTTTCATAACTTGCACGTTCATATTGTACTCCGGAAATAATCACTATAAACTATAAATAAATAAAATTCTTACTTAATCGCTGACGTATTCTTACTTAATTGCCGACATAAATTATTTTTACTTAATTGCTTACAAATTTTTACTTAATTGCTGACAAATTCCTACTTAATTACTGACGAATTTTTACTTAATTGCTGACAAATTTGTACTTAGTTGCTGACAAATTCTTACTTTGACAAATCACTGCCCAATTTTATTGCAATCTGATTAAAACACAGATCCTATTTCGTTTCGTTTTTCAAAGCTCACAATTTTGTGTCACTTTCTTTTACCCTACTCGAAACGAAATATAAATTTGTATGTTTACAAAATCTTACTAAAATTAAAAATACTGAAAAATTTTTACTCAATCGTTGACAAATTCATACTCAAATCAGTGACAAAGTTTATTCAAACGAAAAAATCAAACACTACTTACCACAAGAGCTACTGGACATAGACACATCCAAGTTGCTAGCCAATACCAATTAGGTCTGGACCCACACATCATTTCAACATCTTCGCAAAAATTCTTGATACCTAAATGGTAAAAAATGGAATAACAATTATTGTATGTCTAAATCTAGTTACATCTTTGAAATAATTCGGATGTTCTATTATTATTTTACATGGCACCATGTTAGCTACATATTTACAGCGATGAGTTCCTTGTCAATATTGTGGAATTCTAAACACAAAGAGGGATGTTTAGCAAAAATAATAATAATTTTAAAAGATGACAGACCACAGGGTGGAGGGGAGTTGGTGTGTGTGTGTGTGTGGGGGGGGGGGGTGCGGGCAAAATGTAGGCTGCATAATTGTTTAACATTCGAGTGAATCTCAGACTTGACGTTCATTTATATATTTAATGATTAACCCACATGATTAACATATCAACTAATGTTAGTATTTTATTACGGTAGTATCTAGTACTTTATGTTGTCCCAATCCTATTAAAACACAGATCCTATTTCGTTTCGTTTTTTATAGTTCAAAATTTCGTTTTAATTGTCTTTACTACACTAGGATCTGCATGAGTTATACAACCCGCTTTCTGGATGATGTGAGGGATTAACCAATGAAACGATCTGTTACGGCGTTGCACGGAACTGTGGGTATTCTATCCCATTAGAAACATCAACGCTGATTGATTTATAAAAAGTCTAACGTCATAGGTCAAAAGCCGCTCGTGTGACCCCTGACATACCTTCCACTACAAGTTTTCAGATCTTAATGTAGTAGAGGCCATCGAAAGTATTAAAAAACGAAACCTCAACAGATTCTAGTACCCTACATCTAATCTCGGCTGTATGACAAAGTCCGCCATTAGAACTACTTTCAAGTTCCCGGATTACAATGGCGTTGTCCATGACGTCTAATGACGTCATTGATGACGACGTATTTGAAGAATGTTTTATCAAACAAAATTTTCAAAGTTTGAAGCTGTTTTTCTTTCAAGTTTATCCGATTTTCTTTAGACAAGGACAAATTTGCACTAAAAATTCTACACACTCTTCGAACGACGCAATTTTGAGAACTTCTTTCTAAACGCGGGCAAGTTTCCCTTATAAGTAAACCGGTGCCGCATCGCAAATGTATAGGCGTAGGTGCATATCACTGAATGTCATACAGCCCAGGCTAGATGTAGGGTTCCGGAATCTGCCGAGGTTTGCCGAGTGGCGATGGCCCACAAAATAAAACGAGCCTTACCATAAACGTACATCAGACACACAATCTCCATCAAGGCTAAAAACATCAAATTATAACTCCCGCTATACCAGTCCATTAATGTCATCACGTAAATTCCACCCTAATAAAATAATACAAAACATAATACACCGTGGTCAGGGAGAGAGAGAGAGAGAGAGAGCGAGAGAGAGCGAGAGAGAGAGAAAGGGGGCAGTGGGGTGGGGCGGTGGACACGGAGAAAACCCACGAGGTTGAAAGGCGACCCTACTTCTTGTCACGTACAAAGGGGAATCAAAACTACGCCAGCTGACTCAATGGCAGACCTTATGATACAGCGCGCACGTGCTAACCATTCTGCCATGCAACAACAGTTACAAATATATAGTATGAAAGATATTGCATATTGAACATTAAAAACATTAGCGTACTGGGGCCGGTTGCTCAAAACTAAGTTATTTTAACGATCCGTTAGAGTTTAACGGATCGTTATCTTGGTAACTTGTCGTTTGTTAACGGTCCGTTAAATTTCTGTTGCTGGAAAGTCAATTTCATTATCCGTTAGCTAACAGATTCATTAAAGTTAATCCAAGAGAATACTGTTTGTTCATTGGCTGAATTTTAAACTTATGTACATGTATAACAACTTCATAGAAGTTAGTATTAACAAGAAACTGAAGACAGTGAGACAACTAACTGTGCAGTCTCTTCACAAAACTTGATTAAAGACAAAAAGATAACTAGAATTTACTACAGAAAACACCATAGAATACTTTATTTTTTAAATCTGTAGGAAAAATTATGGGATTTGCACTACAGAATTATGGGGCCATTTTTTTCGTACAGGCCACCAAAATTCTGTAAAATAGTATAGAATTTCATCCTATAGAAAATGGAATAGGCCCGCATCGCCCAACCTTCTAGAATGTTCTATAGAAAATTACATAGGTACAATGTAATCTATGACTTTTTGCTACAGCCAACTAATGCCATCATTAAACAGATAACGGAGACCAACACCTCCGTTAAATATAACGCCAAGTTAACTACAGGTTAAAGTTAACGGGGCTTCCAGCAACAACCTTTCTCTCCGTTAAAGTTAATGATCCGTTAACTCCATGTTAAAAGCTAACAGAGCTTTGAGCAACCGGCCCCAGATCTATAATTTGTTTCGTTTTTTTATACTTTCGATGGCCTACACTCCATAAAGATCTGACCGGTTGAAGTGGGAGGTCGCGGCAGAGGTCATACGTTACCCACAGTTCCGTACACTATAAAAAAAGAAACGAAATAGGATCTGTGTTTCAATCAGATTGGGGTTAGAACTAAATTTAAATCGTATCTACCTTAGCCGTGAGTGGAATACCCAACAGGAAACCAACCATACAGCAGAAGAAAGTGAAAATCAGTTTTCGTTTTCTCAAAACATGGGGGAAAACATCAGTAATACCACTGATTAATGTCTCCATCATAGCAAACTGAAAATAGAATAAAGTTCAGATTTGGTTTACAACTAAAACAAAAGACATTCAATTGGTCTTCTTATATTTGTCTGGACAAAATTTCCTTCTTTTCATAGTGTACAACTTATGCTCGTTTTTATTAATCAGTCGGCGCAGAACAGTAGGACGTTAAACCCCATATCATATCATTTATATTCATATATTCATATATTCATATATCACCCGTGCAAGGTTTCGTCGGCCATTGTGAGAAACACAGAGATATGTTGGCATTTATTTTATTGTGCAAGCAAATCACCTAAAATGAGTGTTATTTAATTCATGAATGTGTATTTCTGTTGATTTAAAATTATTATAAACGTTACCTGGCTGTCCATACCAAGGGTTAACAGCATAAAGAAAAACAAAAATGCCCACAGTGGGGCCACCGGAAGTCGAGCAATCCCTTCTGGATAAGCAATAAAGGCTAAACCTGGACCTGTTTAAAGGATAATTGATAAATATCAAAATGACAAATAAAAGACAGTGAATTAAATTGCTACAAAAAAATATAACACATTGGAATAGTGCTTAAAATATAAACGAAATAGACAGATGAGGACTAAAACTGGATTCGCTAGAGTGTCATATTACTTATGTATATTTAAAACATAGATGTGACGTCATTCTTTGATGTTGGCGTACCATTATTTCAAAGAATGGTACTGGCAATGTGTCAAGCGTACATTACATGTATCTATACTAGGTGATATATTGGACCCGCGAGAGGTATTTGATTGAAATGCACGTGCTGGATAGTGTCCGTACTTTAAGTTGTTTAATGTCTCGTGCAAGACATTGCGTGATATATAGATAAAACCCTCGTGATATATAGATATAGTCGATATAGACCTCGTGCTAACGCAATCGTGCAATATCAATATATTACTTAATGTCTCACACTTGACCATTAAACCACACTTATTTGGTTGTCAGGTAGCAATGGATACGACCCTCACAATTTCTTCATTGTTCTGCGGGGGCTTAACAAGTGTTTGTGACAACTACGGAGGGGGTGGGGGCGAATGGTTAGCGCGTGCGTGCTGTGTCATTAATGAATCAGATAATCCAAAGTACCTTGACTGGCGACCTTATCTACATCTTGATTAGTTTCAGTAGCCATAAATCCGAGTAAGGAGAAAATGGCGAAACCAGCAAAAATACTGGTACCACAGTTAATACATGACACTAATACTGCATCCCTGTAAATAAAAAGGGAGGACATTTTCGTTAAGACAAAAATATCATATTTATTTGGTATAAGTTATTCAGGTGAAGCCATGGTTTAGTACAGAACACATTCGCATTAACAATCGCATGATAGGAGCTAATTTAATACAGTACCGTAGTTTACACAACGTGAAGTACAGTGCGTTTTAGCTTAAGGAGCCACGGTGACTTAGTGAGCAATGCGCTGGCTGTTTCTATAGATTTTAGTTTTTAAGTTCCCAAATCTATAGAAACACGTTACTAACTTATAACCAAGAGAGAGAGAGAGGGAAATGGGGTTTAACGTCAACTCGACACCAAAGTAGGTCATTTCGGGACTAACACATGGTTAAATTTCATTTCTATGATTCGCTTGCACGTAAGGGTCTTTAACAGTGGGAGGAAACCGGAGGACCCGGAAAAAACCCACGAGGTTGGAACTTATAAACAAACCTACTATAGTGTTTATTTCATCATCACGAGAACAGTAGTTATAATACTTAAATATGCAAATTTCAATAAACCCTTTTCGAGTGAAAATGTAGGCTACAATATAATAATATTTCAGAAAGGTATAGGTAACATTGATCTTAAACAATTTGTGCATCCTTCATTCTGGCTGTGGCTGACTCCAATGAATATTCTAACCGTCAATGAATGTTACAGTGCTACGTAAAATTGTCAAACTTGTATGTCAGATATTTCAGTAATTTCACGAAGATTTTAGAGATTTCATGAAATCACTGAGTTAAACTTGGATCATGAGAAATCTTTGGTTTAACGCCTCACTGGTTTTAAATAAATTTAAAAGACTGATGACAGCAGGTTGTCATGTATTATACAAAATTAAAATTTTATGGCATCTTAGTACAGTTAATGTACCGTGAACGTTGAGAGGATGATGGCGTCCATTTTAAGATTTAAAGAGCGCCTACCTGAAAACGTTGTTTTTAAATTTATTGTATGATGACATGGTTAATAATCCACCAAAACCAATACCCAGAGAGTAGAAAATCTGGGTAGCAGCATCACCCCATACCTACAAACATCGAGTCGATAGAGGGGTTTAGGGAGTGGGGTTTAATATAGGCTATGCCTGTTCCCCAATCCCTATTCAGATACAAATCTGAATAAAATATTGCTTATAAAAAAAAAATTGAGTCGATATGGGATTTTGCCAGAGGTGCGCTAACGATCTTCAAGTTTGGTGGTAAACACAAATCCGTAATGCCGAGCGTAGCGAGTCGAAAAGGTTAGCAAGTTCTGTGGTTTCGTTGTGGTATTATTATACGTATTTACACAATGGTATAATGAGCTAAAAGAGAGAGCGAAATGGGGTTTAACGTCCACTCGACACAAACTAGGTCATTTCCGTACAAACATATGGTTCAGTTTTATTTCAATACTTGGTTTGCGCGTAGGGTCTTTAGCGGTGGGAGGAAACCGGAGGACCCTGAGAATACCCACAAGGTTGGACAGGCGGCCCTACTCCTCGTCACGTACAACTGGGGAATCGAAACCAGTCATCTGACTCAATGATCGACCTTATGATAGAACGCGCACGCGTTAACCATTCGCCCCTCCACGCCCATGAGCTAAAAAACTGAGAATTATAATCTTGCATTTGGAAAAAGAAATCAATTAAAAGTCACTTAAACGAGAATATTAAAAACCTGCAGTAGAACAGACAACTCATACAAATACATTTGAGACTGAAGTGCACGAAATTTATTCAACTAAAGCGCTTGTTGACTTGAATTGGGACACGCAGGCGCCACTCAGATAAATTTATCTGGGAATACTCATGCCCAGTTATACCGTTACTCACCTTTGCACGAAGAAGTTTTTGGGGCTGAGGGATGACATAAAATTCAATTCCTTTCATATGACCAGGTAATGTCACTCCACGGATCAACAAAATAACCAGAATGATATATGGGAAGGTAGCAGTGAAATATACAACCTGGAATAAAAAATCGAAATTATAGATATATATATCTTAAATTATAGATACAGTACGCATGTATTTGCAACATGGGGTTGTCATGCAAGATACGCCCATATTTTGCTAGAGATGGGCAGAGAACAAGCTAAAAAAAGCGATTTTTCATACAAACAGGGGCCATAATTCAGAGAGTTATATCTCAGACCTTTGGGATAAAAACATATATTTTAAATCTCATAAAAATCTGATAAACATTATGGCGTCTAGAGGGTCCACAACCTTGGTATTACATACTTTTACACTATATTTCCGTAAGGTTAGCAGTCATTTTGTAGGGGCAGTTTCGGTCCAACTTTAATGAAATTCAAATTGTGGTCTAACAGTGAAATAAATATTATAACACATTTTTTTTTTTGGGGGGGGGGTAAAATCTGGGTCCATAAACCATAAAGTTACGGTACATTTCAATATCAAAAGGAGTCGAGCTCTTTGGCAGATAAACATATTTTTCAAGTTTCTTCCAAATCCGATAAAAATTGAGACCTGTAGTGTGTCCACAAACCAATTGTGGACGGGCGTCCGGACAGACAGGGGCGACTGCTATATATGTACGTCAACATGAACATGTGGTCGTATAAAAAGTGGTTGTTTATGCAAAATTAATGAAATGAAATGGGATTTAACGTCTTACTACTCTGTCCCGTCTGGGCTAATGAAGACGGGACAAAATTAATGATCAATGATCAACTTACTTTTCCAGTAGATTTAATTCCCTTGATTAAACAAAAGAAAATAAGAATCCACGTGAAGAAAAGGCAAAGACAATTCCTCAAGCTGATACCTCCTATGTCTTCAATTCCGTCAGAATCTTGTAGTTGTAAAACATAACGTCTGAAACAGTCAAGTATGTTATTAAATTTAAAGTTGCAATTTCATATTTTTAAGTTATATTTCTAAAATTTATTAAAATAAAGCCTTAAAATAGATGGTATCTATAAACAGTCCTACCTTGTTAAAGATTAATCCTATTAATCCTATAATTCACTATTACTAGTTGAGAAATTGGCAAAAATATCATTTTCAACTTCAAATTCAAACGTTTGAAAAAAGCTAATTCATGGTGGAGAATAGAAAACAAGTGAGGTAATTGGGAGGTAATTGTGTTATTATTTCCGGTGTAAATGAGTTTTAAGTGTGAGAATGACACCTATGATCGTTTAATAGTGAGTTGACAAACTATTGAGCAAAAGACATAGAAATAATTATGTTTTGACTTTCTTAGAAAATACGAAATTGTAACTTTAAAAGTTGTAGATTAACTGAAATATTATGCCCGCTATAGTAGAATCATTCGAAAAAGCTGTTGCAGCGGTGTGTTTTATTGTGTGTGCTTGTGAAATTTTGTTTCTTGTTTTTTAAAGCTCTATACTCGTTAACCTTAAATTAATGTAACATGAATATAAACATAATATATTTTGTGTCTTTTTCCATATCAGAAAAGCAAAAGCAACAAGAACACTGCTGTTTGTGAAAATGTGATTTGATGAAATGACGGTCATTTGTTTAATAACAAAATTAGGATGATATAAGTGAAATTCCAAAATTAATGAAAAATACCAAAACATTATGGAAAATAAAACTGAATGAGTGTTGGGCTTAACAAAACAATCATGAAATGGCCCAACATAAATTTTTTGTTTTAATTTTTAAAAGAAAATTTATTGTAATTTCTAATAAATATGTTCGGCAAAATACAAGCGCAGTGCAAACGGAATGCCAGTCCTTTGAACGAGGGGGTCTTTAGCAATGGGAGGAAACCGGAGGACCCGGAGAAAACCCACGAGGTTGGACAGGCGACCCTACTCCTTGTGATGTACAACCAAGGATTCGAAACCACACCAGTTGACTCAATGACATGACATTATGATACAGCGCGCACGTGCTAACTATTCCGCCATCCAGCCCCCCTGCCTTGTAATAAACTTCAAAGTTCGAATCATATTGTACATGAAATTCGAATCTAATCACCAAATTTGGTCATGGAATTTAAAGAATAGACTTACTTCCAGAACTGTTCAGACGCTGACTGGAACATATAATTACAGTCTTTCACTAATTCGTCTTGCAACATCGTCGAGTTAAGCTGTGTAACGTAGGTCATATTTGTGGTCAAGTTGTAAGCACTGGACAAGGCAGGCAAGAGAGATTTGCTACCTATACAAGACACGTTGACCTCCTCTGGAAGATTTAACATAGATTTTACAACACGAATTACATTAATTAACTGCTGAACCTAATGAAATACCTTTTGTTTGGATGAGGGAGTGAATCGATCAATCAGGGTCCATCCATGCACCCATCATTCCTCGAATTTCCATTCCGAATCAGTAGTGAGGTCAATTCCATCGTCAACGAATTTAGCTTAGTCGTTGTCAATAATACTGTGCAGCCGTTCCATAATTATCAGAACCGTAGCTAGCAGCGGGTGTGTGTGTGTGTGTGTGTGTGGGGGGGGGGGGGTTCAACCAATGTCACACGGCTTCATACTGATATTCAAGGGCTAGCTACGTGGCTGATATTATGTTTATTTTAGCGTTCTGGTGAGCCAAGCGATTGACCTACACATCAATATACCGAATGTTCAGTTGCTGATCCAGGTTCAACCCATGTAGGTTCAATTTATGTAAATGAGTGATGGCCAAGCTTCCACCCAGGTAAATGGAGGATTTCAATCAACTACAAAACTGGACCCTGTTTCTCGAAATCTTAACTAAAACTAAAATCCAATTTTAGTAGATATTTCAATTTTGATTGGCTAAGCACTAAAATCAATCTAATATTATCCAATCAAATTACTAAAATTTGAATTTTATCTTAGTTAACATATCGTGAAACAGGACCCAGAATACAATTACACATTGGGGATGCTCGATTGTCAGTCCAGAACGTTCCGAATTGACGGAATTACAATCGAGTGACGCGGAATTCAGTCCTGTCACAGTTCTGTCAGTCCCGACAACGGAGGTGGTGTGAGTAGAATCGTGACGTAATTAAACCTAACGAATATGTTTCAGCTGTCATGGTTGGCTGAGATATTTTCTCATGCAGTCACCGCATGCGTTCTAGTCCGAAATAATCCCATTTTCACTCGATTGTCATTAATTTTGGGGTTTGACAGAATTCAATACCGGAACGTTCAATCGAACATCCCCATAACTTACTCCAAAGGGCGGTAACTCTATCTGATTCATTCATGTTGGGCAGATCGGGGTATGGTCTATCACGACACTCCAGGGTGTTGTAGGTATTGTTACAAGACTGCCATGGCAGAATGTCATCCAAATGAACGAATGATACGAACATGTAGTACACAGCGTACATAATGATGATGTTATAATATATACTGACAATTCCACTAACTATACACATTCCAAATCCAATACCTAAAAATAAATTAAACATGCATAATGTAAGATTTAGAAACGAAATGAAATGAAAAGGGGTTTAACGTCCTACTGCTCCTAAACAGGGCTAATGAAGACGGGCATACGCCATACAGTGTGCTATGAGGGAAATTTTGCCCGGGCAGCGGCACTAAGGCCTACCCTTATATCGAATTCCAACTACCAGGGGATCTTTTACGTGCACGCCAATGTGTACACGGGACCTCGCTTTTTTGTCCCACCCGAACGACTAGACAGCTGTCCTTGTCAGGCCCTCCGTCCTGCATGCATCACTGACAAGGGGAAACCACGCTGGATAATCTGGATGAACTTTCTCGGCCAATGCAGGGATCGAACACCCGACCTCCAGGCTAGCGAGCCAGCGGTGAGATTTAGAAAATGAAATGACCATTCTTGCTACAATAGCTCATAAATAGATAATGTAAAATGAAAATATTGAAAATTTCATTCAGATTACTTCCTTCGAATCCACATTATCACCGTTTGTAGTTTTGAAAAGGTGTGTGCATAGTTTCCCAGTTTTAAATCGAACTTTTTAATGGCGGACCGTTCTAATCTAGTTAAAACCTGGAGTATCTGATGCCATCGAGAGTTGATGTATGGTCTGGATAAGTTTATTAATGTCTAATTAATAATTTATATAACATTTCAGACCCAAAGAAAGACCTGCAAAAGGCAGATTTACCTCTTGCATAATGTATGTTTAAATTATCACAGTTTAATTTAAAGTGGGCGTGATACCCATTTAGCATTCTAAAACACTTCACAGTCCAAGAGAGCCACGATCCGAATTCATTGGACAGTTAAGCCCTTGTTATGAGTCATCTAGAAATGGTGGTAATCTGAAAACGCTACACTGGCCCTTGATTCGATATCGTAATATTTTAGAGTTACAAACTAAAGGGCCTTAACAAGTAATAAGGTAAATTGAAGCGTACTCACCGGAGAATATTGGACTGACTTTCCATACTGTGATTGGACCTTCCGAAGAGAACTGACCAATAGCCAATTCAACAAAGAAGAGTGGCAGCCCAGCAATAACCAACATAATAATATATGGTATTAAAAATGTGGCTGAAATTAAAAAAAAAAAACAAACAAGACAATGATCGTAGGTTTAAAATTGGATCGTTGACTCGCTAGTAAATTTAAAACATAAATAATTTAAGATCCTTGGATTCATAATTCTATATGAAAGGCCAAAGCAAGCATTTCGGGACACATGGTTCAATTTTATTTCAATAATTCGCTTGCGCGTAGGAGAACCCGGAGAAACCCACAAAGTTGGACAGGCAACCCTACTCCTTGTCACGTTCTAGCGAATAATTGAAGCCACGCGATTTTACCCAATGACAGACCTTGTTATACCACGCGCACGCGTTAAACCACTAGACCATCCAGCCCCTATCAGTTAAATAATGTTATACATATATTACCTCCACCATTTCTGTAACATAGGTATGGAAATCTCCACACATTACCAATACCAACAGCATATCCAACACATGACAGGAAAAAATCCAATTTCCCCGACCATGTTCCTCTATCCAGTTCCCCTTCCTTAAAAACATAAATAAAGAAATATGGTATATCAGAACGTATGATAACGAAACCATTAATGTTTTATAGCAATTCGTATAAGAAACAGTATAATAAAGTGGCAGTAACTTGAAATACAAAATGAAAACAATTAATATCAAAACAACGCTTGTTATTAAAGTTGGTAGGATGCTGGAGTGAAAAGTTACATTTCTACTAAAAAGCAAAACAAAAATATTAACTGAAAATATTATATTAAGAAGGTGAAGTTAATAGAAGAAATCGTTATTATTGTGTGGGGGAGGGGGGAGGGTAAAAAAACAACCGGATTGCTAAGTTATATTACCAGTCATTAAGCCATTTAAGGATTTCAAATAAAACGCAACGAAAGGGCAATGCACACATTTCAGGTACAGATGGTGATATGATTAAAGTGACTTCTATGTAAGGTGCAAGGGCATATGCAATTCCGAGAATGCACTGATTTTTTAAAATAATCATTTACAACTTTTCTTTCAAACGCGTTTACCGGACGACTTTAAACTTTGGTTGTATCAAAATATCAAGGACGAAAATTTTACTAAATATACCACATTGAATGCAAATTTTTTATTTAATCGTTGGCTATAGCTTACATCGATTGTCGAAAGGGTATTCAATATTGCAATGGTACGTGGGTTTTAAGAAACTGACATTAAATAACAAGGTAGTTTCATGGGTCCCAGAATTTTTTCATAATGTAGGCTATATATTTTATGTATAAAAGTTTGCTTTACGGTTACACGGTATTTGTTTTGTTGTTGAAGTTTCAGAATTCAGCAGGCTTGATATAATAAAAGTATCTAATTTCTTTGTCCATAGTAAATAATTATATATAATTGAATGATGTGGATGCGTCTCGGTGTATATCAAATTATAATATACTAGAATTTCATTGTATCTAAAGAGCTCTTGTATAACAGACACTTGTCATCTGAAGCTGAAGCATCCATGCATAAAATGGATGTCAGCATTTTAGGTTACTATGTCACTAACGCTTAAAAAAACGGTTAGCCAATGGTCATAGACGGATTTAAAGAGTGGGGTCAAGGGGGGTCATAAACAGTATTATATTCCTATAAGATTAAAGTAGCGAAGTCTCTAATTCTTCGACACTGAAAACATAAATTATTTATCAATTTAAATCACTATTGAAGTTGTCGTCGTACCGGGAAAAGATGGGCCTCTGATATCCAATATCTAATACAAAATAAACATTTTACCATTGGTACACGAAGCGTGTGCCATGATGCATTTCAGCGCCATTTGTAACAAGAGACTCAAAGAACTAGGCTAGAAATATTCCACGGTTAGCCCATATTCCACAAGCCATGTCAAACGGTGACGGCATATTCTTATCTGGAGATCATGCGCAATAAATACTATCAGTGCAGACTGGAATAGCAAGACACTAGAGATTGCCATTCGATTGAGACTTCTGACGTATTTCGCCAAACATTATTCCAGGTCGCAAATATTAGCGAAAAATCGGATTTAACGTCCACTCGAAACAAACTACATGTAAGTCATTTCGGGATTAACATATGGTTCAGTTTTATTTCAATAATTCGCTTGCGCGTAGGGGTCTTTAGCAGTGGGAGGAACCCGGAGGACCCGGAGAAACCCCACGAGGTTGGAACCCCAACAGATGAACATTGCAATTTAAGAATAAGAGTTTTAAATCTGTATATTTGAGAAATGTGAAGTTTTTCAAGGTTCAATTTCTTCTTTGATTGGCATTTAGTAATTGAACATATTAACACAGGGCTTATAATTTAATGGATACACAATTACTGATTTTAATACTAAGCGACGTTACCGACGTGGATATGATAAAGATGAGAGGATTCTCATCGAAACGTCGCTTAGTATTAAACTCAGTAATTGTGTATCTATAAAATTGTACCCTGTGTTAAGATTCAATTTGTTTTTAGATGAACAAAACATAATAAGTTTTACTCTATACAAAGATTAGGTGGGATTTGATAAATTGATATAAAAAAAAAACATGAATGTTGCTACATCTACTTTAAACTGATAGATTAAAATGTCAACTTGGAATAAAAGATGCTTAGATAGAATTATATATGAAAGCAAATTTTTAACCGAAATATTAAAAGATGTATTTTAACTATGTCTTAAAAACTGAATGTAGCCAACAGTGTAAACAGGGGCGTATGTAGTAATAGTATATTTATTATACACAACTTCAACTTTGTACATAGACAGAAAGGGTGCTATAGTACTTCTCTATCGGCTTATTATGTTAATACAACAACCTTATCCTTTTATCTACAAGAAAAGAAGTAAATAAAAAGGGATTATTAGAACTAAGACCAGTGACCTATATTTATCATGACATCTCATAAAATTTCCGTTGGTATGGAATTTTTTTTAATTTTAAAAAATGTACTTATTAGCATAACCTTTCGGCACTATGTTGCGGGACACTTGACCCCAGTTTATCAATGGAATTTCAAGCAAGCATGAGCTTGAAACAATAACTCTTCTTTATTCAGTTTTGTTCTGTTTTGAAAACAAATCATAATAATTATGAAATTGTTACTTGATACATCGGCTTCAGTTACATGTGTAGGTTTATTAAAGAACTTGTTAAAGTTACAATTTCATATTTTCTAAGAAAGTCAAAACATAATTATTTCTGTCTTTTGCTCAACAGGTTGTCAACACACTATTATACGATCATAGGTTATCTTTCTCACACTTAAAAATCTTCACACCGGAAATAATAACACAATTTCATCCCTTGTTTTCCTATTCCCCACCATGGAATAGCTATCTTCCAACGTTTGAATTTGAAGTTGAAAATGATATTTTTGCCAATTTCTCAATTGGCACTAGTGAATTATAGGATGAATAGGATTATTCTTTACCAAGGTAGGACTGTTTATAGATACCATCTAGTTTAGGGCTTTATTTTAATACATTTTAAAAATATAACGTAAAATATGAAATTGAAACTTTAAAGAATCCCGATCTGCCCTGGATTAACAATGGAAGGTAATCTGATTATAATACAGATCTATATTTTGTTTCGTTTTAACTTTTTATACTTTTGATGGCCTACACTACATGAAGATCTGACCAGTTATAGTGGAAGGACGCGTCAGAGGTCATACGAGCGGCTTTTGGCCCTATGACTGAGAGGATTAATGCCCCTTTAGAACTTATTTTCTATCAATAAGAGAAATAACGGCGAAATTGGTAGGTCTTTTATACCTCCATGATTTAATTACTATTTGCGCTGTTTTCCTTTGTAAAGTGCATATCGGCAGACATTTAAACCATTTGTTCTTCAGTGAGAAATTCAATCGAAGCAAATACTACAAAACCAGTAAACAAATCAACTCCCGGTTAAATTGACGACACAAAACTTAATCGTACACAGTTTTTGAAGTCTACACACGGCGAGCTGTCTACTTTGCCAATAGCTCTCTGCTCCGAATGGCCACCATTATTACAAAATTTGTATACTATTTTGTAACGTGGTTCTAATCTGTTTAACAGTTTTGATAATATTCACTAAGGCTAAACATTTTCGATTTTATTAAACATACAGTATGTAAGAGCTAAATGTGCCTATTTAGGGTCTGTCTTTAGGCCTGAAATGTTATCTAAATTATTAATTAGACATTAATTAACTTATCCAGGACATAATTAACTCTCGATGCCATGTTATGTATACGATTTTCATAGGATTTGAATCCGATCTGCTGCGCAACGTCCGTTGATGATTACACGCAAAAGTGGATAATCGAGACTTTGTTAATTATCGTGACGGCGCTAACAATGACAATCGAGGCTACAGAGATTTTAAAATAGGGTTTTCTCGGCTTAGAGTGAAGCAAGTTTAAGCATATTCCCTTTATATCATCTAGTTTTTAACTATTATATTTAACTGCCAGCTCTTTACCCAATCTTCCATAATGTATCTTTAAAAAGAAGCAGAATAAATATACATGCACTTAGTGTTTTCGACTAAACTCATCGATGTAAAATGTCGGTTATTCACCTTGGAGTCTGTTTGAGAACAGACATCAATTATCTGTTGAAGACATCTATATATTAATTCAGTTTCCCCCTCAAGCCAAAGAGATTTTGCCCCTGTAAGAAAAACACTGAATGTCTTTTATGTCATTGTTTGCATCAAAACATCAAGATGAAATCTTCGCCCTAAGCAAATAAATAAAAATTAATTTCTTGATAAAAAAAATTGTTAAAAGATTTTGCACCGAAATTAATTTTTATTATTTTTTTTTTATTTTTTGACTCTATTAGAAGATATTTTTGTGGTCGTTATAGATAACAGGCGATTCAGTACCACCCAACTAAAGCAACGATCGTAATGATCTTTTCCTATCAATGCGATCTAATCTTCTCGTATGCTATTTTTAAAAACATATATTTTTTTGTGAATTTTATATTATACATAAAACGAACTGACTATTAAAGCTTCGAGACCGCGCGAGCACTGATTTACGAAATCCCCGAAAACATCTTTGTATGCATGAAGTCTGAATCAAGACAAAATAATGATCTTAATATGATCTTGCTCTACTTTAAGACCAAAATAATATTTCTATTAACATATTTACTGCTCAATATTCAACCTGCTCTACTTATGATAATTGTGTAGGAAACAGCTTATTTATAATACAGAGCTTCTTGATATGAAATATGTCTCTAGTGTTAAGCAAACCTATTCATAATATATTCAAAGACGAAATAACGGGTTACTTTATATTACTCCCTGGAAAACTACAAGGACATTCTAAATTACAGCAGAAAGTTGTCACTGCCAACCCAATTGGGTCATGGCCAACAATAAAAGGTTCTGGCTAGTTTTATTTATTAAAATATATCGGACATTTCTCCATTATGGAGATCACAGGTCAAAACTTAGTTCTGAGATAAACACACTTAGTTTCCAATAAGTCCAGCAATTTATTCTCTTATTAAAA